AATTAATCTTAAGATGAACATTCGCCCCGCCCAGGCAAAATGGCCAAGGATGTACTTCAGAAAGCCAGTTTATTACTAGGCTATTCTGGTTCCATATTTCCCCACTTAGAATAAATGTATTTTTAAACAAAAGAGAACATAGTGTTCAATTTTTATACCTCATTATCCTAAATTCTAACCTAAGATACACCTCTAACTAGAATGGAATAAAGATTCCTTGAGAGGAAGTGAATATACAAAAATAGGCATTCAACATTTTTCTTAATAATTCAGCAACTCTTAATTGTATCAGCTTCCATGGTCTAAATATCACTCTATACAGATGACTCTCCTATCTATCTATCTATATACTCAGCCCTAGTCTCTCCTGAATTCCACTCTTGCTTCATTAATAGCCTATTTATTGGATACGTCCAACTAGATAAAGCACTAGACCTGGAGTCGCGAAGACCTGAGTTCAAATCCAGCCCTCAGACACTTACCAACTATGTGACCTTGGGCAAGTCACTTATGCTGTTTGCACAGCATAAAATGGGGATAATTGCACCTACCTCCCACGTAGTGAAGATCAAATAAGAGAATATCTGTAAAGCTATGAGCACGGTACCTGCCACACAAAAGGCACTATATAAACGTGACTTAGTGTTATTATTATTGTTATCAGAACCATCATTAGATGTCCCAAAGGTGACTCAAATTCAAAATATCCAAAATAAAGTTCATTATTTTCCCCCAAATCCTCCCCTCTTCTTCACTTCCTTATTTCTATTAATGAAACTGCCATCCTTCCAGTTTCCCAGGTTCACAACCTGGCACCATCAAATCTTTCCTCCCCTTTACCCTTCAGATAAATCAGTGGCCGACTCTTTTCTATTTTACCTCCATAACCTCTCTGCTCACAACTCGACCACTCTAGTTGGAGAATTCATCACCTCTTGACTAGATTACTACTGCAATTCTAACTGGTCTCCCTGCTCTCTCCTTCCTCCATTCCAGTCTTCATATAGCAGCCGAAGCATCCCAAAGCACAGGTCTGACCACGTCTGGCCAAGGCCCCCAAACGAGAAGCTTCAGTGGCTGCCTCTTGCCTTTAGGATAAAACAAACTGCTTTGTGTGTCTCCTAAGGCCTTTCACAATCTGGCTCCAGCCTATGTCTCCAGGCTTACTCACCATATCTCTTCTCCGTGCACTCTATGTTCCAGCAAAATGGGTCTTATTTGTTGTTCTCTATACAGGACATTCGATCTGCAGGCTGAAAGCTTTAATGCCCCCCCCCACCTCACCCACAGAAATCCTTCACTCAAAACTCATCTTAAGAGCCTCCTCCTGTAAAATGCCTATCCCCCCCATTAGCACCTAGTTAGCTGCTAGGGCCCTCCCCTATAATGACTGTGTATCTACTTTCTAGATATTTTGTATTTACTTGTCTTCGTGCATGTCCTTTCCCTCAATACTAAGTTCCTTGAGGGCAACGACTGTTTCGGTTTTGTCTTTGAATTCTTTGTACCTAGCACGGTTTTTCTCACATAATAGGCATTTATTAAGTTCGAGCAGAAAGAAGGAACCAACATTACAGTGATTTCATACTCATTAGATTGGCAGCTTGTTGAGGCCAGGGATTATCTTTTTCCAATACCTGGCACACAGTGGATCCTTAATAAAAGTTTACTGGGAACAGCTAGGTGGCACAGTGGATGGAGCACCTGCCCTGGAGTCAGAAGGACCTAATGTCAAATCTGGACTCAGACACTTGACACTTACTAGCTGTGTGACCTTGGGCAAGTCACTTAACTCCATTGCCTAGCCAGAACAAAACAAAAAGTTTACTGACTGACTGGGCTCATCTCTGGTATAGACAACGAGCAATCCTAGCCCTTTATCAAGCTGCTTTACATTTCACTCTAGTCCTTCCCCCACCCCCACTTCTGCTGGAATTCTCTTTTCAGAGCTCCCACATGATATCACACCAAAATCTCTGGGTTTTCTCCTCAGACCAAGTTCCAAGTTCCTTGTCTTTCTCTTTGCTGCTCTGTACAACTGTGCATGGCCAGCATACTCGCTCATTTCCCCCAACTGCCTGGGGCTATCCAGAGCTCTATTTACTTCGGCAGCTCCTTCCTCCCTCCCATTCTTGGCCTTTAAATCCAAGCTTTTCCCAAACCAACCCTCCCCCAACTTCCACAGACAAATAACATACCTGGGCTCTAAAAAAATATATATATATTTGCAAAGGGGTCTTAGTTAAATCAGATGCATGCCCTATTCTCCCTTACTCTTAATAAAATCTTCCAGGATCCCTTCCTTTAAGGTTCTTAGAGCTGTCTTTATACAAGTGCAATGCATCGTGAACAAAAAATACAGTGTGTACTATTATTATTAAAGAGAATAATTAGCCACCGCAGAAATATCACAAAGGGGTCTCTTCAGTAGGAGAATTAAGCCAGAAGATCAGAGGGACTCTGAAGAAACAAAGATTCTGTTTTCATGCAAATGTCTTTAGTAAAAGAGGAAAACACCAAACTGAAGCCTTTAAATAGAATGTTTTCCATGAAGCATTACTTGCTCTTTAAAGGAAATGATTCATTTTATCAGGATAAAGAAAGGCTTAATGAACTTTAAATTATTTAATTTAATCTTTGGTATGCCATGACTTCATGGGAAGTCCTCATTTCCCTACATCCCACAGCCAGCTAGCCTCACATTTTCAAGGAGATTGTACAAGTAACAGGGAAACAGTGTCTACCTCTGAGTAAAAGATTACCATTTGGTATTTATCATCTGCACAAAAGTAGCAATCTATTGGAGGGGAGGGGGAGAGAGGAAAAAGAGACAGGAAATTCCCTCCACAGCTGAACAAACTTATATCATTCCAACACAATTCATCTGACACTTATGTACTCCTCTGACCTGATGGAAATTTCCAATACAGAAAAGGAATTATCAAAGTGTTTCCTAAACCACCTTTTTCCTTTAAAGCAAGACCTTTTGCTTCATCTACCATAAATTCCCTACAGTATCATAAACTAGTCTCACATTTTAAATCAACTATATAAAGTGACCTATAACATTTATCCAACAAACATTATTAAGCACCTACAAAATGCAGGGCACTGTGCTAAACTTGGAAGGAAAGACAGTCCGATCCTCCTAGTTTAGACTAGTAGGAGAGATGAGATGTGCAGAAAGATAAAAGTAACATAAATGATAAGGAATGTCTCCTTTTCCCATTTGACCTCCTAACAATGGGATTATCTGTGGCCAAAGAATGAAATAATGGGTTAAAGAACTGTAGGAAGAAGTTCAAAATATCTCCCTGTGAATTTTCCAGGGAAGAGAAGTAAAACATGTTTTACCAGATTGAGAAGTTAAAGATAACCTGAGTTTGGAGAGGACAACTCACCTTTTCCACACTCCACCTTCCTCCTCACCCCTCCCCACACAGAAGAATTCATTCTCCTTATCAGAAAATCTTTAAAGGATCCATTCCATCCACTCCTCCAAGGCTCAGCAGAGGTAAATTTACACACTCATTTCCCGAACACTCCAAAAACCTTAGCCATTTTAATCTTAAAAAAAAAAAAATCAGAACCAGTAGGGCTCAGAAGGAAATTTGGACCTCTCTCAAAGGACAGGAAGCCATTTTCTCACTCAAGATGCACCTGGTTTAGCTCTGCTTTGTCTACCAAAAAAAAAAAAAAAATCCACCCACCCCAGCAATGTTCTGTGCTCTTCCTGCCTCTCAGCAAGGAGCCTGCAACATCTTAGGCCCTTACACAGCTGCTTCTGTTTGAGATCCAGTCCATGCTGGAGCCTCCCACCAACAGGGTAACAAAAAAGTGGGTTTGAAAGTCTGCTTCCATCCACAGCTGCTGTGGCCTCCAACAGAGGGCTGAACCTGAATTGAGGTAATCAGGAATTCCTTTGCAGAGGGACAATTTTCCACTTTAAAATACCAAATTATGTTTGCACAGCTCTCACTGGGCGACCCTTCTGGATTATCGTTTCTTAAGTCATCATATCTGACTGAAACTCGGACTGTGTCACACGAACACCTGGGTGCTACAGGGTGTTGAGAAGCTGGTCACGGGACCACCGCAAGCTAGGTTTAGGTTTCCCTTTCTTTCCTTAATAACCCAAAGCACATCCTTTGTCCAAATCCACCCGTCTACCTCCCCTCCTCACCCCACCCCCCAAAAAAACCCACCAGAGACCCACGTATCAGGTGCATTAGTTGCTTCATCACTTAACACACTGCAGTCACCCTGCCTATGCACGAGTTCTCGGGGAATCTGCAACTACTACGCTTTGCCTTTACAGAGGAATCAAAATCACTCAATTAGCGTCGGCGAGATGCCTCTCCCCCAGCCCCCTCCCTCCATTCCCCGCATCCCATCCTCACCTTTGGATGGGGGCAGTCCCGCAGCCGGGCCCCGCCCACCCCCTCCTCCAGGTGGCCACAGGTTCCCAGACGGCTGGGGTTGGGGGGGGGTGGCGCGGCAGCGACGAGCCACTCCCATCCTGGATCAGGACCAGAGATCGTCGGGACCTCCCCCCCAGGCCGTCAAACCCAACTGTCCTCATTTCCCAGCAGAGGAAACTGAGGCCCAGAGAGGGGCAGCTACTTGCCCAAGGTCACACAGGGGCCAAGGTCCGAGACAGGACGTGAACTTGGGCCCGCGAGCTGCACACCCATGGCACCCTCTTCCCCTGGCGCCCTCCCCCTCCCCCCAGGAATACTCCCCCACCCGCGCCCCATCTCCCTCATCGCTCATCTCCAGCCGAAGCGTCGGGGGGGGGCGCTGGGGTCAACGCACTGCAAGATGGGGGGTCGCCACCCCCCACCCAGAGCCTGCTCCCTCCGCTGCCTCCTCTCGACTCCGGCCCGGGCCGTCCAGCCTCCGCGCCTGGCTGTAGCCCGGCCCCGTGCCTGGCCGCGCCTGCCCTCTCTCCCCCGCTTCCGTCCCCAGATGTCCCCCCAACCACGGCAGCCACTACTCACTGTCGGTGACTGGGCCCGGCCCTCATGGCTGCTCTGTCCCCGCCGCCAATGCTCCCCGCCCCGGCCCCGCCGTCACCTCCACAGCCGCCGCCGCCGCCGCCGCCGTCGGGACTCGCCGGGCGCCGCTCGTGCGCCTGCGCAGCCCCGAGAGCTGGGGGCCTCGGCTACTGGTCGCGCCTGCGCGGTCGGGGCTGGCGAGCGCCTTCCTCAGTGCCTGATGCCCCAATCCCTCCTCCCGCCTCTTCCAGGTGCGGGTGGGGCAGGGCAAGGCTCAGAGTCCGCGAGCTGCCTGCCTGGGCTATGACTTTCCCGCGAGGGAGACGAGCTCATCCACGCTGTCAGGCACCATGTTGCTTTCTAGTGCCCACAATGCCACCTTTCCCCCACTTCAGCAGAGCTGCTGCCAAGGAAGTGACCACTCCCAGAATGCCCTGGGGCCCCTGTCAATGGGGTGACCACTCCCAGGATGCCCTGGGGCCCTTGTCAAGGGGATGACTACCCCCAGAAGCTTTGGGGCTCCTCTCAAGGAGTCTACCCCTAGAATACACTGAATCTTTGTCAAGGGGTGATGATGTACCCCCCACAGTGAGGGGGGGCTCAAAGCCATCCCCCAGAAAGCACTGTGGGAGCCCAAGAATGTGCCAGGCTGCCCCCTAAGATGATGCTGCATGGCCCACCTGGCCCTTCACAGGGCTACTAGCAGAACGCCCTGTTATAGAGGGTTGGCCACTCTTAGATCTGCTACTTAGCTCAGGATCTGTTCTTGATGAAGCATAACCAGGGGCTTTATTCTGTCCAGTGCTGGGGGTCTCAGCTGCTTAGATTTTGGGAGCAGTCAGTGGGCTAAGGGCAACCAATTAGAAAGAAAAACTTACCTATTTTTAATTTTTGTTTTCCTTCTCTTTGGTAATTTCCAAGCAGTCCTCTCCTAGCTAATCTGCTCCAAGGATAGAAAAGTGGGGACCAAGGCTTGAAATAAGGTAGAAAGAGTATTTCCTTGGAAGGCTTCAAGTGAATTCTGCTACAACTGAACCAGGAGGAAAACATTCTAGAATGTCTTTTGCTTTACTCTTGTTGGCATTCTTATGGGAGGAAAAGGGCCCCTTCCCCTTCCTCCCTTGCCAACTTACTCTCTAATAGGAAAACTATTAAGTTATTTAATTCAGCCCAGCTAACTATTAGATACATTACTACCCTCTCTTTCCCCATCCCCACACCCACATGATGGAAGTAAAGCAGGGTAGATAAATAGATAATTGGGACAAAGCATAAAGAACTTCCCCAGCATCTTGATGTTCAGGAAGAAAGCTACTCACTTAACTACACCCAAGCCTCCACCTCCTCCAGGGTATACTCAGGACAACGGGAAAGAATGCACACTAGCATGAAAGATAGTGAGCTCAAAACCCCTGACAGAGAAACATATACCAAACAAGAAACATGTTTCTTTCCCATCCAAGAAGGCACCGTAGAAAGTCCCATCCAGCGTCTGCCACTGAAATCAGTGACCACCCTATGCCCCCTTGTCCCTATCTTCCAAAGCCAAATTTGGTCAGAATTCAAGTTAATCCGGGAAATGTATTTGATGATAAATCATTAATATGAGAAGAAGAGTTTCCACAAAGGACTGTGACTATGCTTGCATTTTACCCCTCTTCTAATGGAGGTGAAAGACCTCTTCATTTACTGAGAAATCTGCTATGTGCAGGGCATGGTGCTAAGTGTTGGGCTGACAAGGAACTCACAGTCTTGTGGGGGAAAATGGGAAAATGGTTATAAAAATATAAATAGCATATGTACATAAAGCTGGGGACCATACTTGGGATCTAGGATACCTGCATCCCAAAATTTAAGACTATTCAATATCTTTAAAAATACTTCTCTGTTTGAATGGAAGGATGAAAAGTTAGGGATTCAGGAGCTGGATCTGTTACAGATATATTTTGCACTTGTCTCAGCACATGGAGAGAGGAGAATCGCAGAGTTGTTGTTATAATAAAAAGTTTAGGGGTGGAGATTCTCACACAGATGCCAAGTAAGGCCTATTTCTTTCTTCCCCTTTCCTAGATAGCAGCCAGGAGACAGAGGTAGGCTCCTCCCCCTTCATTCTTATGACTCCTACAAGCCATAATAACACATTTCCAAATACTTAGACAGACCTGTGAACTCTCAGATGTGGGTATGCCAATGAGACCAATTCCATTTATACCTACCCATTCCATACCATGCTTGTCCATAGCCTCCCATAAATTTGCCACAAGGACATCCACCCAATGTGCTGGAGGCTTTCCTCATTTTCTCTTGATGTGGAGAGAATCATAATGGAGCTATGTGGTCAGCCCATCTTCTTCTTCATCTTCATTTGCTACTCTGGGTAGAGATTGGCACTGGCCCAGCATCAACCTGTCTCCCCTGAAAAGGAAATTATATCTGTGCAGAGGTGCAGGCTCAGTGCTCATGACTGCCATCCACCCACCCTGGGAAGCACTGTGTGACAGGTGTCAGACATGAAGGGAAGGATTGGACAGTATCTGGCAGGGCAGGGGAAGAGGATGCCAGGAAGCAGAGGCCCTGAGCTGGCATCCCTGTTGTTAAAACCCATTATCTACCCTAGAGCAGAGCCAGCCTCTGGCACCCACCTGGCTATAGATGAGTTGGCATTGCTAGTGCAATGATCTTTTGGCATGGGTACATCCTTTATGCCTGAGACTCCACACAATGACTCCTGGTTGTGAAGCCAGAAAGGGGGAAGGGCAGCATTAGCACTTCTTCCCATTTAATATAACGGCCTACTCTCTGGCCATCTCCTCCCCACCCCCAAACTTCTGCCCTGGCGCCCTCCTGTCCTGATTAATGGCCACCTCTACCAGACCACTTCTTTAGGAAAGCCCCAGCCACCATTCTTCCCAGCATTCCCTCCTCTCAGGCCATCATCTCCTCTACAATCTAGCTAGCCCTTGCTTCTGGGTATACCTTTTCCTTCTCTCTCCCCTCCAGCTGTGAAGCCATTAATTTTGATCAAATGGATGTGTCAATCTATTCCTCTGTGACTCACCATCCCCTGTAGCTTTCCAGAGCAAGGTGCATTGCCCTGTTCATTTCCTTTCTGCATTAGCTCCTCCAATATGGTTTGGGTTTTTTTGTTTGTTTGTTTTGTTTTTTGTTAGGCAATGGGGTTAAGTGACTTACCCAGGGTCACACAGCTAGTAAATATCAAGTGTCTGAGGTCAGATTTGAACTCAGGTCTTCCTGACTCCAGAACCGATGCTGTATCCATTGCACCACCTCGCTGCCCCAGCTCCTTCAATATGGGCTTGGACCAACAGCATCTTATACCATATTCCATAAAAAATTCAAAATGGATATGTGACCTGAATATTCAAAATTATACCATAAAAGACACAAGAGAAACAAATCACATACATGGCTTTCATAGCTATGGGTAGGAGATAAGTTCATGAAAAAATAGAAATAGAGAGAAAGACAAAAGATAAAATAGATCATTTTGATTGAAATGGAAAAGCTTTTGCACAAACAAAATTAATGTGTCTAAGATAAGAAGGAAAGCAGTCAACTGGGAAAAAAATCTTGTATCAAATTTCTCAGATAAGAGTTTGATATCCAAGATATATATGCAACTAACAGAAATATATAAGATTCAAAGCTATTCCCCAATAAATGCACGGTCAGAATATATGAACAGACAGTTCTCAAAAGAACTGCAAATCATCAACATCTATTCAATGTTGTTGAGTCTTTCAGTCCTGTCCAAGTCTCTGTGACCTCATTTGGGGTTTTCTTGGCAAAGATCCTGGACTGGTTTAGCCATTTCCTTCTCTAGCTCATTTTATAGATGAGGAACTGAGGCAAACAGGGTTCAGTGACTTGCCCAGGGTCACACAGCAGCTAAGTGTCAGAGGATGGATTTGAATGCAGGTCCTCCTGACTCCAGAGCTGATGCTTTCTCCACTGTGCCACCTAGCTGCCCCCAATCCATGCGATAGAATGTTCCAAATTATTAACAAATAAAGAAGAAAATTAAACCAACCTTGAGGTTTTACTTCAAGCCCTGCAAATTGTCAAATATGGCAAAAGATGGGAATATTCAATATAGAAATTGTAGAAATCCAGACACACTAACTAATACATTGTTAGGGGAGCTAGGAAGTCATTTAACCATACTAGAAAATAATTTGGAATCACACCAGGTATATTGCTCTCAAGGAAGTAATTGATAAAAAGAAAGGATCTGTATACACCCAAATATTTATACCAGCACTGGGTAGTAGCAGAGAATTGAGGAAGATGGAGAGTTGATGCCCATCTATTGAGAAATCGCTAAATAAACTGTGGTACGTGAATGTAATGGGACATTATTGTGTTGTAAAAAAAAAAAAAGATGTAATTTCTACTTACAACATCACTAATGTGAAAATATGTTTAATAGGAATGTACATGTATAGCCGATATCAGATTGTGCGCTGTCTTGGGGAAGTTGGTGGGGAGGAAGGGGGAGAAAAATTTTAAACTCAAAAGCATATGGAAGTGATTGTTGATAAATCAAAATAAATCAGTTAAAAATAATGAATACAATGAACACAGAGAATCATGGAAAGACTTACTCAAAATGATGCAAGGGATATGAACAGAGGCTGGAGAAAAATATACAAAATGACGAAAATAATGTAAATGGAAAGAACCACTACAAAACAGTATAAGATAAATGTTGCAAAATTACAAAGAATAAGCTTGGCCCCAAAGAAGAGATATGAGAAGACACATCTCCTGACTCCTAGGCTGATGGAGAGGACCCATGGTATGGTACATTGTATAGATTGTCAGATTTATTCAATATATTGATAGGTTTTACTTTTTTTTCAATTTTTCTTTGAAAACAATTCTTTGACATAAGGTCCATACTTCTTTGGGAGGGGTAGGAGGAAAGAAAGAGATATAGGAGGAAATTTAGGCAATGTAAAAATAAAATATGTCAATAAAAAGCTATTGGTTTTTCTTCTTAAAATTTTTTTAATATAAGAGAAGTTTCTCTGGGAGGGAGAGGAAGAGGGGG